GCTTTCGACTGAGATACAATCTAAATAAAAAATTCAGAACATGTGACGAACAATCAATATTTCTTAATAAAAAACCAAAGAATAATTAAGTTACAATATTTCTCTTGCTGGTTTAGATGATGTTAATCGCTTAATTTGGCTGATCTTAGTCGTATACAAAGTTCGGGATCGTTTTGTGTTAGTCTCGATGAAGATAAGTGGATAATGCTACATTGTAGATTTAGGGATTATGATCATATTGTTTAAGAAATGAAGAATCTTTCAGTTGGTTTGCTGTTTTCTGGATTAATAAGTGTTCACAATTGCTCACAAGATGATTTCCATGAATTTGGAAACACCAAAAGTCCATGGAATTATATACATTCCTAGAACTTGGCTAGTTTTTATATACTCTGGGTCGTGAACAGATATTTGGCCTAGTTGAAAGTACTTCAAGGGCAGACAGATCATTTCCTTTGATTGAAAAATGAATCGAAAAGCCTTAAAAACTAGTTATTCGTTTCTTGAGAATTCACTAGTTTTCTAGTTTTAAACCGTAGGACGATGATGCATTGTCCATAACCGTCTGAAGTTGAGTAGCTATTGACATTTTGCAATTTATGGCACACTTTTTTCACAGGGATCATTTATCTCCGTAGATTAAAAATGAACCGAAAATGGTTTAAAACTAGTCATTTGTTTGATATCTAGAAGCAGTTACTGACTCTTGTGTTGTGATATATTGATCTATTTCTTGAGAACTCACTGGTCTTGTGAGCAAACATTTTCACAGAATGATAGACACACCCTAGGATGCATGTTAACCAGTAAATGATTTTCGAGAAAACACAACCCTATGATGCATTAATAACTATAAAACAAATTTTTTCCGAGAAGACGCAATCATGTGATACATTAAAATGGTTTTTTTCTAAAAGACACAATTCTAAGATGCTTTAATAATCATAAAACTGTTTTTTTAAAAAGATGCAATCCTAGGATTCCTTAACAACCATCAAACGAATTTTAAGATACAACCAAAAGACACGACACTTAGTTGTTTTAATAACCATAAAACAATGTTTTAAAAAAATGCAACCATATGATACATTAATAATCATAAAATATATTTTTTGAAAAGACGCAATCGTATGATGCATTAATCACCATAAACCAGGTTTTTCAAAAAGACGTAATCCTTAGATGCTTTTAAAATCATAAAACGGTCTTTTGTAAAGATGCAATCATAGGATTTATTAATAACAATAAAACAAATTTCTCAAAAATACGCAATGCTAAAAAGCTTTAATAACCATAAAACCGGGTTTTCAAAAATGTATGAACATATGATGAATCAGTAACCACAAAATAAATTTTTCGAAAAGACGGAAGCCTTAGTTGCTTTAATAACCATAAAACAATGTTTTTCAAAAACAAATGCAACCAAATGATGCATTAATAACCATAAAATTAATCTTCAAAAGACGCAACATTTAGATGTTTTAATAACCATAAAATAGTTTTTTTATCAAAAATGTTACCCTATGATGCATTAATTAAAACATCATAGAATTTAAAATTTAGCCATAAAATCTACACCGTCTACAGAATTCCAACATTTGTTACACAAATCAATAAATTTAAGAAATTCTATAATAGTAAAAAATCAATACTTTTGAATAATTTTAAGATAATAGAATGTCATTTTTATCATTGTTATGCTTTGAGTGAATTTTAAAATTAGTAGTCATATAAAAATACAAATAATGTTCAACAAAAAAATATATAGAGTCAAAAACACAAATATATAGAACAAACAGTTTTTCCAAAAAGATGCAATAATATTTGCATTGTCCAAAGAGATTCAAATTCTTTACACAAATCAAGAACTTTAGGAACATCATCAATAGTAAAAAGATAAATATTTTAAAATAATTTAAAAATAATAGATTGACGTTTTTATCTATCTTATACTTTAAGTGAATTATAGAATCAATAGCCATAATTAACAAATTGATAACCGGCAGAAAAATTAAAAC